AAATGAAGGCCTCATCTATTTATAAGACTCCTTTTCCTAAATGAATGGTTATGATCAATTCGATCAAATGGCGATAATTAATTATCTAGAACTCTTGTATCTAAATAGTTACATGAAACACTCTAGACATATACATACTAGAATAATGTGAGACTATTTAGAAATATTTAGGATATATCCAGATTTCTCTTAGACGGTTTAAAAGCTTCTCCAATGCTCCAAAGACTTCTAGAGACTTTCAAGTCTCAAGTCTATTTGGCCATCTCTATTAAAAAGTTGCTCTTTTGTCTTTTTTTTCTAAAAAAATTCAATTCAATCCTTGTAAACCAAATGTTTCTTAGTTTGCCCTTTTTCTTTAAAAGAATTTTTTTCCAAGATATTTCACTTCCATATTGATGGAAAATTTCAAACCGTCTCTTTTTTTTTTCAAAAAAAAAATAAAAATAAAAATAAATAAGTGCTATATGTTGTTTCTTTTATTAAAAAGTTCATTTCCTAAATGGAAGCTTTATATATTCTCCTTCCTAAACGATATTACTTGACATGTTTAAGTACTACAATAAAGAAAAAGAAAACTTGGCCTCCCACGTCTTCAATCCCGGATCGAATACCCACAGGAAAGAGAAAAAAAAACATATAATTTAGAAAAAGGAAAACTAAAGTCTCCTGATTGGAAGTAGCTGAAATAGGAATTCAAACTAAGAAAAATGTTGACCTTATTAAAAGCAAAAGTATAAAAGCCATGGATCTCGAAGTTAGTTCAGAATAATAATGGAATATGAATAAAGCATTTGGATGGACTGAATATAAAGACTGCACAAGAGTTTATACTTGGATGCTGCTCACATTGTCAAGGTATTTATTAATTGCTGTACACATGAAGTTCTTGGAACATAAAACGCCAAATATTCAGATGATCGCAAGTCTCGGGAACTAATGGGGAAATTTGGGCCGCAAAATTAGTTTTCGATCCTTTAATTTTCCTTTTCATGGTCAAACAAAACAGCAAAGAAAAGTCTTATTATTTCCACTCTGTTATGAAGGGGATTAAGTGCATTATAAGTGCATCTATTTTATAAGTTTTCTCAAATAAATACATAATTTTTTTATTTTTTATTTGAGTATATCGATTTTTTTAAAAACTATTAATTAAATTTTTTTTTTTTTTTTTTTACTTCAGTCAATTGTTTCCAAGAATATTCGACAGGAGTTGAACAAAAGATAAAATCGTAATCTAGTTATATGAGGCAAAAGATATATCATTTGATAACAAAGTAATTGACAGGAGTTGAACAAAAAAGTGTTTTATTAATAGTTTTTAAAAAAAATTTAATGTATTAAAAAAAATTATATACTCAATTAAAAATTAATGTAGTTTTAGTGCAATTATTACAATGATCCTTTTATGAAGTGTAAACATAGAATGAAGAGTAAATTAACCCTTACGAGATTCCCGAAATAACAACAATAAAGATATAATTCTTACGAGCGCCACAGACTCTATTTCGGGATTCTTTCTTTGGGATCCTGGGCTTAGCAGTATTCTCCAACAGAAAATTTTGGCAATGATAAAGAATGCTACTCCATGTAATTTTCCAAAAATCTGAATTTTAATTTTAATTTTATTTTCATTTTTCTTATTAAAATTATAATTTCTCATTCGGTTACCTTAAAATGTTAACTTGACATTAAATTTTGTGTGGTGCATCTTTAAATGCTTACCACCATGGCCCAAGAACCAAAAGTCTTATAGCAATGCTATTTCTCGAAACTTATTGCTTTTTGTTTTTGTTTTTTCTTTTACCCTTCTTGTTGAATATCATTTAATTTTTTTATAGTCTTGAATCCATTCATCTTATGGATAAAAAAAATCTGCTGGTTGCATAAAATTTATTAGGCTAAACTCATTATTTGCATCCTGTATTTTTATGAATTTGTTAAAAAAATATATTCTTATATTATCAATTCAGCCAATTGAATTTATATTCTTGATTTCAGTTAAATAAATACGATTTGTCTGAATTGAAAAAATTACAACTCGATAGAGAGGGTGAGATAGGTGATAAGAATGAAATAATAATGAATCGTAAATTCACTTAATTCGTTGACATAATATTCTATTTTATAAAAACTATATTCACTAAAGAGATTGTAATCTAATAGTAGTAAAGATTAAGGGTTCAAATTTTAACGGACTAGCCTAATAGTTATGGTAGAAACTTTGAGTGTGTATTTTAAATGTGTGAATTAAAAAAAATAAAATAAAACTTATACTCAATTAACTGAAATTAACAAATACTCTTGTTTGACCAAATTGAAACAAATGAACTTTTTTTATGAATTGGTAAAAACATAGGGTGTAAATAATAAGTTCAGACAAATCTAACGCAAACATTAAAGGCATTGAGCTTGAAAGTTTAATGCCCAACTATACGAAATAAGGGAAGGCATGGTTATAATACCTTTCGAGTTTTTTTTTTTTTTTTTCAATTTGACTCTGTTAATTATTACTAAGTTTTATTCTCCTTATTATCGTCTTTAGTTCAAATATAAATTAAGAAAAAGTACATTTTCCTTAAATGTGCTAGGTTGGATATGGATTTGTGCCTAATACCTGAAAAAGGTTGTAGTTAATGGTTTGAGAATATATTTTTTAAATATCCATATATGCAATTCTGATATGCTGTGGTAGCATCATGACTTCGTCATCATCTTAAGGGGTTTTCACAACATTTAATGTTGTATTAAATATTTTGTGGTATCTCTTAAATGCTTACACCTTCCTTTGCATAGAAACATAATAGTAATATGAAGACAAAAGTAAATGTATCCTTAGGACTACATGCTTACACCTTCCTTCGAATGGTAGTAATTCTTGTTTTTTTTTTTTTTCATTTTCATAATGAATATTTCTTTCTTCTGATAGGCAAGTAAATGAAGATTTCAAGTCATTAATTAATAATGAACCCCTTTGAATCCGATACCATCTCTAACTAATCAACACCAATACAGTTATGATGACTTTTCATTCCACCCCATTCCACATGCTTGACTAAGAAAATGGAGGAAGTATCCATTCGGCAAAATTCACAGCATGGTCCCTCAAGTTTTGAATTTGGTAAGATAGCCCTTGTTGTTTAATTTTAGGCATAACAACTCCCATAATTCAAGTTCATTAGTTGTCCACCACTTGTTAGTTGCTACTATGTGTAAAACATCTAAAATAATATGTCTAACCACATATTGAAAGTGTGAGGGTTGATGTCTTTAAAATCAAAGTGTAGGGGTTGATTCCATCAATTCTTAAAACTTGAGGCACCAATTAAATGAAAGGAAAATAAAGTAAAAAAACAATGGATTTTCATTTAAAAGAAGGAAAATTTGTAGTAATCTCTTTCAACTCAGATAAGTATCCAGACAGTTCTTAAAACCAGAACTCGAATTATAAACACCTTCCGCCAAAATTTCCTCTCCCATACTCGATTTAATACACATAGTATCTAATTTCAAATTTCTTTTATGAATGAACTTAATTAAAAAAAAGTTCTTTCTTTTTCTCTCTTTTTATATAAAAAAAATTATTTATTTTTGGAATTTAAATGACATGAGACATTCTATTTTTTTATTCAGAGCAATTTTTTTTTTCCAAAAAAAGGGATATGTTATTCATAAAGGGGTCGTACGCTTCTAGTTAACTACATTTTCTTTCAATTAGCATTTATAACATCACCACTCCGTTAATATCATCAAGATATAACTTTTAAGGGATAATTTGCTTATGACCTCGTGAGGAAGAAAATTAATTTCACACAGAAACCTAGGCCAAAATGTCTTTACAAATTAAACCCATTTATAACATCACCCACCATAAAAGTAGGGAAATAAAATATCATTGAGACATTAAATTTGCTACTTTTTTTTATTATATATATATATATATATATATATATATATATAGATATATATATATATCATTCTTGCACTTGTGTCGAAATCAAAACTTAAAAAATCTTTTTGATAATAAAATTATGTGCATATACCACTAACTATAAACTACGACATTTGAACTTCAAAATTTAAATCAGATCAAATTGGCTACTGTTATCACATCATTTGGTCAATGCATCCAAAGATTTGGTTGAGTTGGAGTCTGTCTGGTATAAATAAGTATGCAAAATACGAGTTTAAATCCTATATATATATATATATATATATATAAGTTTATTGTAAATTTTATAGACTTATATGGTTTTAGTTTTATTAAGTGTAATATAATTTGAAGACACCATTTGTCATTAAATAATAATAAATAAATAAAAAGTCCCATCTGTTTTTGGTTTTCTTATCAACTTAATCGAAGTTCCTAGCTAAACAATGTATGTAGATCAACTTGTTTGACGTCAAAATTGAGCGATTGGTTCAAGTGACATGGAGAAAAATGTATTCAATATCTAAATTTAATTGACATCATTTATATAATTTCTCTGTAATTAATTAATAAAGGAGGGAGTTGGGATGATGAATAAAAATATAAGGGGAAAAAAAAGAAGTAAAATAGATAATTTCTTAAAAGCGAAGGGGATACATCTAAATATCAAAAATAAAGAGCCAAAAAGGTAGACTGGTATATCAAAGCATTAAATGCTACCATTAATTAACTTAGGCGCCTCCCTTTCTTTGAATTCTCCTCCTCCCCCAACTTCATCCGCGTACCATTATTAAATCATTAACCAAAACAATAAATGAAACATTTAATAAAGTAGTATTAGAAAATTTAAAATTCCCACAATATAAAAGTATTAAGAATAATAATAATAATAATAATACTCCAATTAATAACAAGTTTTTAAATTTTTTATAGCGTATCATATATATATATATATATAACAAATGAATCTCTATTTAATACAAAGCACCCCACTCTCCCCCTCTCTCTCTCTTCTATCTGTTGAAGAAGAAGAAAAGGAAGAAAAGAAGAAGAAGAGCTTTTTCCTGAAAGTATGGCAGCTGAGTTGAGTTCTCTGGTTAGGCTTTTGAGTGGATACAAGGATGATAGGAACGTTGGGAGGGAACCTGGTGGTGTAAAATCAACAGCTTTGATCACTAGGGACTTGCTTGGTGGTGGTGGCGGTGGTTCTGTAGAGCATGAGTCTCAAGAATTGGACCTGGATTTGCAAGTGCCTTGTGGCTGGGAAAAGCGCCTGGACTTGAAGGTAAAATACTGGTGCTCTCATCTGGGTTCTGTTTGTTTCCTGAGAAAAATAGCAAGGGAAAGAGCATCGAAGGGTTTCAAAATCTTATGTTGATCATTATAATCTTTTCAAGTTTCACGAGATATACTTTTTTATAGTTTCTGGTTTGACATTCCTAAAAGTCAATTTGTATCATAAGAAACAGAGTTTTTGATGTACAAAACGAGATCGTATATGCTTTATATGCTTGTTTACTGTTATGATTCTGTAAGTTTTGTTTTCTTTGAAGGTTGAACATCGAATTTTAAGGGTTTTGCAATTTCTTGCCATTTCTGCAAAGATACCTTTTTATTATATAGTTGTACTTAAATGGTTACTGATTTACTTTGAAACTCTCTGCTTTGTTTAATATCCTCTGTTTTGATCTCTGAGAAACAGGGAGGATTAGGAAATGAGAGTGCAATCAATTTGACTTTTTTTGTACTATTGTGCCAGCTTTTGGTTTTCATGGAATATATATATATATATATAGACACACACAGATTGATATGCAGACACAGGCTTTCTTTTTAAGTTTCTGATCAATTTAATTCCCTAACTTTTCCAGCAACCAAACGGTCTTTATTTATTTCTAGGGGAAACCAAATTCTTTGAATGGACCATCAAATTGTATGGACTATTTATTTATTTTTAAAGAAAGGGTTTAAAGTCTTATGCATCTTTTCAACATTAGTATTCAATTGCCATTGTATCCTTAATGCTCTTCAATGCTTCTCCACTTATTTCCTCCGCCTTCTCTTTAATAAATTCTGATCATCTATTCAATTTTTGATGTACTTCAAACTTCAGAATTAAATCTATCATTAATTTCATGACCAGTAAGAAATTTTATTTTATTTTTTTTCTAATTATTTATTTTTATTAAAACATTACTACAATGTTATACCTTGTATACTCATTCATGTATTTTTATTGGCTGCAGTCGGGAAAGGTTTACTTGCAAAGATGCAACTCCTCAAATTCACCCTCATCATCCTCAGATTACAGGAGCCAAACCAATCAAACAGTAGCAAAGCTTCAAGACTTAAATTTCCCGCCTTCACCTTCCAAGATTACATTAAACCTTTTCGATGAAGGTAACTTGGAACTGAAGTTATTGCCATCACCATCGTCAAGCAATTACCCAAGTGTTTGCACTCTAGATAGAGTAAAATCCGCACTCGAAAGAGCTGAGAAAGAACCGGGTAGGAAGCGATCCTCATCGCTATGGAAATCATCAATTTCGCCGGCGTATTCATCATCATCGTCTTCTATAAGAGAGATTCAAGAGGAAGAAAATGAAGAGAAGGTAGTGGCAGCATCCCCAGTTGCGACAGGATGTCCCGGTTGCTTGTCGTATGTTTTAATAATGAAACAAAATCCAAAATGTCCGAGATGCAATTCATTTGTTCCAATGCCAATGGTGAAGAAGCCTAGGATTGATCTCAACATATCAATTTGAGATCAACTGGATGTTAATTTCTCTTTGATTTTGTAAATAATAGAGGGAATTTGTAGGGGCTTGAAAGAATAGAAATTAACGTTCAGTATAGAAGAGATTTCATGGTTTTATATAAAATTAATAGTAGAAAAATTATTTCTACTGAAGGCGGCTTATTTTATTTATTTGGAACTAAATGCTCATGAGTAACACATGTTGTAATTTTCTTGTTCCCTTTTGTTTCTTTTTTCGTCTTTTAATTAGATATTTCAATTATTGTTTTATCTCCAACGGCTCCCACAAATTCCTCGAACATTAAAACTTTTGCGTGTTGATGTTTAAAGCAATTAATTTATCGGATTTACGTCAAAGAAATAATGCACACACCAATCATCGTGTCCTTTGCAATTAAGGAACTCTGACCCCATTAAGGGGGCTAACAAGGGCGTATAAACTCAGATATAAATAAGTGTACTGTTTATGTTGTGTTGCTTGCAACTTGTAATTGGATGGACAGAGACTCTTTTTTAAAAAAAAAAAAAAAAAGGTTAAACGGTCCTTTCCTGAAATACTAAGCTTTTTAATTTTTTTATTTTAGATTGATTTTTTTGTTAAAACTATTTTTATTAGAACTAGATTCTTCTTAGGTTTTTATTAATTCTAACAATGGTAGAAGCGAACGTTATTTGTATATAATTAACTTTTAATTAATATAATAACTAAAAATATATCAAAACTTATTGATACTTTATTTTTTTTTCAACACTTTTTTTTAAATCATTCTTTAATTACTTGCTTTTTAGCATTCATATAGAAAGAAAAAAAAAAAAAACAAGTTTTGAAAGTAAAAAAAATAAAACATCTATAAGTTTTAATATGTTTTTAGCTATTCAAAAATTACACTTATATATTAGAATTGATGAAAATTTAACAGAAAAATCTAATTTTAGATGAAAAATGATTGAAAAAAAAGTACCTTAAAATTAAAAATTAAAAACATTATTCTAAATATATCATCAATACAATTATATATGAAATCTGAACCGTCTAAAACCCTATAAGAAAAAGAAATTGCTAGGAAAATGTTGACTTAGTTTACCTAATTTATCTTTAACACAGTGTGTGTGTATAAAAGATTCTTAAATAGATTAATCAAATTAATTCAACTAAAAAACAAAATATAAGAGGTGGCAAGTAGCTAGGGTTTTGTTACAAAGTGCTGATGATCATTAATGGGAACCCATTAATCTAAGATTGTGACTTGTATCTATTAATACTTAATATTGTGTGCTCCACAATTTAGCCATCTTACATGCATGCATGGTTTGGGCATGAACTAGTTTTCCGTCAAACCCCCTACCGACTCTTGGTAGATTAATAAAAAGGGATAACGATGTGAAATAGAAAAAATGGTTGTGTCCTAAATGTTTGAAAACTGCATACACCTACACTTTGTCAAATGATGAGATTTATGGTACTGCGTGAGGCTAATTATGGCATTTATTAGACCAATTCATTAATATACCTAACTCACAATAAATGAGAAATTAATTTTATCATCATGGTATTAAAGTTTGCCCACCTAACTTCTCATGTGATTTAAATGCTGCCTTATTTCCTCAACCAATTTAATTATTTCTCTAAATGGCATTCTCTAGTTGGCCTATCCACTGCTTTAATTTGTTGGATTTCAATTTCTTTTAACCGTAGTCTTAACCATATATATAGAATTAGATCAAATAATCAGAATTCAAAATTGATTCCCTACTCACTCCATGATATAAAATATTGAAAAATACTATTTAGTTAGATTTGGAGTGCTTATTATTCAAGAATTCCTAATTGACTTGGATTGAAAACGACTTGGATCGGTGTATAATTCTTTGATTGATTAAAGTTTGTTGAACTAACTTGTTCTCGTTTTTAGATAGCTTGTGAATTTTCAATTGTTGTAGGTCACATAATCATAGAGTTTGTAACTTCCATCCATCGAAGAGTTGATGTGATCAGGCAGCCAATCTAAAAATACTTTATTGCTTGTAAATAAAGTATCCATTCATATAAAAATAAATAAATAATTTCTCTAGCTCTCCGATGGATATAACTATTGTTGGAGGAGGTAAAATTACTTTAGAAGGAGAAAAACTCTCCGTGGAACTTTGAGCTTTTTTTCTTTTCTTTTCTTTTTTCTCTTTTTGTTCGTATCAAATAATTTGGAAGTCATAGATTTCAATTCCAAAGTACTTAAGTTTAAAAAATGGGAGGACTGTCATTTATCCAGACGTTTTACTCGGGATTGAATAAAGCTATATCTCTTACTGAATAAATAATATGTGTGCAAAAGAAAAAATGGAACTTTAGAGGAGCAGAAGAGGAGATGAGAAGGAGGAGGAGAAAAAAACATGGAACTTTAGAAAGCACAATATCTGTTCAGTAGCTCCACTGTTTAATTAGTGCAAATGATAATTGAATGCGCATTAATAAACACTTGAAAGGCTTGAAACCAGAACAATTCAATGTGAAGAACCTGACAAATGACAGAATATTAACTTTTTCAAGCAACGCCATATTGTTGCCAACCAATTGACGAACTCAGTTTTGTAGATCAGATATTTTCACTCACCTGGTACGACAATGCATTGGATATGCCTGTACACACTTCTGACATCTTCAACACAAAGTAATTGCCGCCCATTATTTACGGTTGACAAAAATATGAGGGTAAATTTTAATTTGTCTAGCGTTTGAGGGATTTTTTTCCCTTATATTTTGTTTGTATCAATTACCAATTTCAATATTTATCAAAGTTTCAGTTCTTTTATCTATTACGCTAACAAAATTAATTTATGTTTGAATTTATTGCTTAAAAAATTAAAAAATTCTTCGTCAAATATTTATCTTTTAATCATGTTACCAATTATAAAATTCGATGTTATATCCAAAACTTGATTAGGGTCCGACAATCAACAAATTCTACATTTATTCCTCTTAAGAGAGGTTGGCACTCAAAACCAAATCCATAAGAGTAAGCCCATCCACAAGAGAGGTCTAAAGAAATTTTATGTTCAAAAGACAAAAATATAAGCAAAAAAAATGTGAGAAGTAAAGTTCTATTGAAAAAAAAAGAAAAAAAGACTAACAAGATAATAACGTGAGAATATTACAACAAATGAGTGAGAATATCATAAAACGTAAAACATTGTAGCCTAAGACAAAAATGGAGCATTGTAGCTCAAAAAACAAAGTTAAGTAGCATTGTAATTTAAGAACATGGCTAATAAAGAAGGATATAAAAGAATGGAAATGCTATAAATATCGGTTACAATAAGAAAACAACACATACGCCAAACACAATACAACAATAATACTCTTGTAAATTATCAATTTTAGCTCTCAAATCGTTTTAACACTTGAAACATAGTAGACTACAGCTTGTAAATAGTAATCAAGTAGGTGATAATAGTAGGAAGTAATAGTAGACTAATAGATCATCTCTAGTTCAATTTTCACTTTTGTTGCAACACATGTAGATCTCATCTCTCAATGTTCATAGTTTCAATTGGTGTTTGTTTATTAGTTTCTATGTTCGTAAGTCTTTATATTTTTAAAGTCATTGTCATTTGTAAAAATTTTTAATTTAGTACTTATTAATTCTAGTTTCTCTTTAATCTTGCAATATACAATTTGCGTAATTGTTGTTAATAAAATTTATTTTATATTTTGAATAGAAATTGCAATTAGACATGAATTGAATACTCTTCGGACCTTAAAGAGGCAAATCCAATTAGGTTTTAATCAAATCCTTATAAATGTCAACAACTATTTAGAGTCTAGAATTAAGAAGGGGTCCGGTGATGTTATTACCGATTTCAATCATACTATATCGGAAGTAGTACATAAGATATCCAAGCAAGTGATTTTGGAAATATGAAATCAGTTGGAAGAAAGATTACCTAATGCCATTGACCAACCCGGGTCTTCTAGAATCATCCGACCTAGGAGGGCTTATAGTGACTCTTACAAAGATGTAGGTAGCTACAAGGGAAGAGAGAATTCTCTTTTCGAAACTAAGCAACCTCTTTAGCCAACTTGGTAGAAATACATCACCATAAGTGACACTCATTATGAAAGAGAAACTAGACCAAGCAACCTTGCAAAAACTTATCACTTTAAGTGAGACTAATTATGAAAGGGAACTTATTAGAGAATCTCATAAATAATAAATTTGAGGAATCATCTCTCCACACCTTCAAATAAAATAGCTAGTGGAATGAATAATATAGAAAGTTAGAGATTGCTATCGAAGGACCCTAGGCCGGGACATCAACCATTACAACAAACCTTACAACTAGATTAAGAATATATATTAAGGGTTTTAGAGCAGTGCTTTTGGTACTAGAATCTAGCAAATCTATAGACCAACTTATAGTCGTCCATTTCCCGAATACATGTATAAGGAGTATCTTTATCCATCTAACTTTAGATTTTCTAATTTCACTTTGTTCACTAGATAAGGAATAGTCATTATCTTAGAAGATATAGTCACATTCATATCCCAATGTAGAGAGGATTTTGATTGTGATTATTTAAAGTAGGTTGTTTTCAAACTTCTAAATAAGAAGTGCATTTTTATGGTATATGAATTTACCTCTAAACTTCATTCACTCCTAGATAGAAATGCAAGCTATTTTCCAAACTCATTTAAAAAAAAAAAAAAAAAAAACCTAAATTAAGATTATTAGACATGATAATATAAACCATACCCAAGAGAGTCCGTCAAAGAGTATCTAGATAGGTTCATAAAAGCTAGAGCTAAATATTAAAAAAAAAAATTACGAAAAAAAGTTTGTAACTATAGCCTAACAAGGTCTAAAATTTGAGCTTAAAAAGAAATTTGAGGGAATGAAGTTTAAGAATGTGTAAGAATTAGTAATGAGAACATCCAAGTATGAAAGCTGCTAAAAGAAAAAAAAAGATAAAAAATTCATAGTCTATAGAATCGGAGCGGATAGTAAAGGCCT